AACACTACGGCCAGACCTACACTCTTGACGGCCAAACGCTATATCCCACACCCTCCGTGAAGGACCTAGGTGTACTCTCACGCTACGATTTGAAGTCCGTGGACAACACGAACAGGTTATATCGTAACGGACTGCGCATGCTTTGGGCGCACAAACGTAGCTTCGGCACATGGTCTGAAGAGGTTGCCACCCGCCTGTTCTCTTCTATCAATAGACCAATGCTAGAGTACGGTTCGCCCGCCTACTTTCCGATTACCCGAGGCGAGGCACAAAAGATCGAACGGGTCCAACACGTTGCTACCAGGCTGATCCCGAGTTTACGTGGCTTTGGGTATGAAGACCGGTGCGAGAAACTAGGACTCTACACCTTGTCCTACCGTCGGGTGCGAGTCGACCTCATTATGACCTACCGTATTCTACATCTCGTTGACTTCCGCATGTTAAGGCCAATGCTGCACTTAGGAGGGCCAGGCAGCACACGCGGACACAGATACAAACCTGTCGTGCCAGATGCGAAATGTGTTCCCCACCCACTGTGCTTCGAACGGAGAGTGGTAAACATTTGGAACAGTTTGCCTGAACACGTGATTGAGGCATCATCTGTGCAACAGTTCAAAACGTTGTTAGATTTATATTTTGCCACTATTCGATTCAGAGAACGACTGCACACTTACGAGGACATATGACATTTGTGAATCCTGCAATATCGTAAGTCGAATATTTTAAATACTACATGCGAACGACAATGATATTCACGGTTGACAACTTTTATAATGTTTTTCACAATATTTCGAAAGAGTTGTACAGAATCCATTTCTACTTGCTCTATAATACAGTATTCAGTATTCAGTATTCATAACGACTTATTGGCCTCCAATCTATACGTTGCCTGACCAGGTTACGAAGATAAGAGGGTAATCAGCATGCTGCTGGCAGGTGGATTCCCTCATATTTTCCCCATTTTACTAGCTTCATTTCCACCACAACGAGAACGATATACCTTCTAAAGCGGTAATATTGTATCCGACTCTTAGTTGGCCCTGGTTGACCGGAGTTGCGTTATATATTTAACCTCAACTCAGGTCCCTTCTCAGTGGTGTAGTGCAATCGTTGTGTTGCTCTCGCACAACCTCAGTTCGTACTATAAATAAATGAGCGAGCCATCGCCAGATATTTAGTCTACATGACTCTGCGTAAACTTTCAAGCGATATTTATACTTTATGTTATGCCCATGATTTCGGTTCACAAAGTGGCGCGTCCGCCAATCCAGAGACTCGGAGTGACTCAGATATCGATTGGCCCGTATTGGACTCGAACAACAGTCGTGAACCGAAGCAGGAGTTTACATCGACGAGTCTCGATAACAGCGCGGACATGCACGTGCAAAATTCGAATACGCAAGAAGCAGAAGATGTTGAGGTCACTAATGAAATTGTGGAAGAAGAAAAAACCGAACAGCAGGATACGGAGGATAAACCTAAACTTGAGACTAGTGAGGAAAAATCGGGTTTCGATAAAGGTTTTTCGGTGGACTATATGGAATCGACCATGGAGGCAACACCAGCCCAAGCTAAACGGCCACGCACAACTAAGGACATGCGATTGAAACAGTACGGTGTCATTTGATTCGTTACCAGTTGCTGTTGGTTCATCAACGTTTAGTTTGAGTTATTTTGACCAAATTGGCCAGTGTCGTATATTCTTTACACAACATCCATTTCTTCTTGTTGCTCAAAATCTCTGCCTAGACGGTACACCGATATAATCACAATTGAGCGAATGAAAAATCAAGGCTCAGTACGGTTAGTCCGATGTTTGTTTAGACTTCGTGTGTGACACACTTTTGCGTTTACCATTACGAAAGAATCGTTATCTTTTTGTTCTGAATTCAAGACGAGCGCCCTCCGGTACAGAAGAAAGCGCCAACGAAGTGAGCTCCGAAAGTGAAACGGAGGAAGAGGAAGAAGTGCCGGAGAGGAAAGCCGATGCGAACGCAGATCTTCCATCCGAATATTGGCAGATTGGAAAAATAGTGAAATACCTTAAGGTAAGAACATGTGTCGTATCTTTGGCGATGTGGTATCAGATCTTATCCCGCATTTACAGACAGCAACAAAATCTGTTACCTGGACAAAAGGTTACACTTGTTGCATGCAAACGTGTATCGCGTTTTACCGCGCGCGACTCTATTTTCAATTATGTTTTGGTTTGATTCGCATATGGACGTCGCATAAGGACACACTTTTGTCGGGTACGCTGCGCAATCTGGAGCTTAATTTTCCTTGTTAAAGTTCAACTTTGATGGACTCCACTACACTTGCTGTGACAGAAGTTATCAGTACTCATTTGCGGCGTCTGATGGAAATGACTGTAGATTCAGAGTGTGCTGCTAATATTTCTTCGTAATAGTGTGATGTAGTCCACCTGTTCACGACGGCCCAGTCAATTAGTCAGCACAGACATTGGAAAGGAACTATGTGCCGTCTAGACTAGAAAATGAACGCGAGTTGTAATTGAGCCCTTGGAGTAGGTCCAGATGTCTCCGAGGAACTCAGATTTGTGTGGTAACTGGCTCGACCCGACTAAGTCACACGTCCATTGGCAGTTTCGTTTCTCATAGTACCGCACACATTTGGCCAACGCGAATGCAGGACATTCGTGCACGCTTCGCATCGTCCCTATAGTAGATCTCGGTGTTTGCGATTGCCAAACGCGGCGGAAAACGAACATGCTTGCACTCGGTTACCCTCAATGTGATGCTGTGAGCGTTGCTCAAACAGGGTTGGTAACTACCCCTAGAACGATGCAGCTTTATGCGCATCTGTTCTCGAAAATGATCGGCAACCCGTTGTCTGCTCATTGAACGCGGTATAGGGGAGCATGCTTAGCGCTAGCGCTATAGATCAGAGTTTGTGCCATCGTGGCACCATAGACTGGGAAGCTACGCAGACATCTGGAACCATTAGTCGCATCCATTGCGATAGCATAGGCGAAAGGAACAAACCAAGAATCAAGACTTCCTATATTCTTCCCAACGTATCAGTACTCACTTCGAATTAACTAACCGCAGATGCAAACTTGTCCAAAAAAGTGGTTACCAAAGTCCAATCAACTGCATTTCTCACTGTTACTATGGACATGAAGTTGGTTACGCAACTACACTCCTATGAATACTTCACAGTCACCGGAATCGATTTCGTTGCCGCCAACTCTCGTTGAAATGAGACAGCAGATCTTCAACAGGAGTCGATGGTGGCCAAACAATGCAAGAGCTCTGCAGTCCATGACTTAACCCGCTTTCTCTTTAGGATTATTGCAAGCATAATTGATCAAATGTGCTAGGAAAGACACTTGACCACAGTAGTAAGCCAAAAGTTCCGAAAGTATTCTACCCATTTGCTCTGGCCTTAAGTTAATAAACGAGCAATGAAACAACGTTATGGCTAGCTAAGGCGCTAACTAAAGAAGCCATTCATCCAGGCACAAAAGTAACGCTGTTATGTGAAATCACATACCTGCTGAAGTCACAGTATACGCTTACTACTCGTCCCTTCCCGTAGTCTTAAGCACCACAAGTCTGCTTTATGAACTGATGACGTGGGTTCGAGCCTGAGTAGGGGACCGGGCGGCCCATGCGCGACTGGTGTGGTTGTGTGGCAACCGAGCGTCGGTACTGCGCACCGGCGTACTGCTGTTGCCTTCCTGTTGCGTCCGCAGTGTTTTGGATGCTACGAAATGTGCTGTGTTTGCAGACACTTAGTTCACCGCTGGTCTCAATAAGTAGCCATGTTAATTTTCACTTTTCCAATCACAAACGAAATGTATGTGCAATTTGTATTTGACGCATTTCAACTCAATATAATTGCACTATATAGCTATGTAGTGGTAGGCTTAACAACCGTTCTTGTTTTGCTGTGGCATGGATCAGCAGTGGATATCATATCGCCATTTACTTTTATCTTCTAGTCATTCTAATGTTTCCAGAATGCGAATAGACAAATGGGTTCACCTCTACGTTGCATTCGTGCTAACTAACTCTTTTGTCTTGTTTAAGGGGGGTAACCAAACCTCAACTATCATATCGTTATGCGCCTTACAAGACATGCCTTTGAAAACAGAAGTGTGCCAGCTAGCTGTACGAGACGTTGGCGGGATGGATGTCCTCATCAACCTACTAGAAACTGAAGAGGTTCGATGCAAAGTGAGTTACTGACTTTAGCCCAGTAGTTCGCATCATTTTGGAGGGAGTATCTTTTACTATCATTGTTACTAGACTAACTGGACCTGGGTTTGGAGGGCATCATTTAACCCGAGTCGGACATAAAGAGACATGCAGATGTGCCTCATCATGGACACAGCTATCCGAGACCTTCCCCATTAATGGATCCAGCGAATGAACTCAAATACGATATGTCAACAACCGTAAGCGCAACAGAAGCAGAACTTACGCGTAGTTGTACATGTGAACCGTTTGACAACACCAGTATGCATCACAGGGTGGGTACCTACTGCTAACCAAAGCCTACGGCCATCTTACTGACTGATGCGGCAGCTTCTTTGATAACTTCACATTGGTTGAGTAACCATACTTAATGATGCCCCGCTACTTCCCAGATTTTTCCTATTCCCAATACATATGAATGCTTTGATTGCAGATTTGGTGCGATGGCGACTTTCTACTAATCCCTTGGTTAAAACGCGGAGCGGCCGCGGTTCTTCCCATGATCAACTGCACCATGGTTTGTCTTTACTTTGTAACATGCCAAGCTGCTCTTCGCCCTAGTCAAAAGCCTCTTCTTCCGAGGCTTCATTCGCTACCACATCAAGTGAGCTCGTGGATAACGGGAGAGGCCGAGGCGCCTAACGAGCTTCTCTAACCGTCACGGAGCCACAATATTCGTGGGGAAAGAATGGGAACTCATATAGGCCTGTGTCAGGTTAAGCCAGCGCATATGCTGTCGTCATTTGTAAGGTAGTCCCTTTTGAACGGTGGGCACAAAGAATGTTGACTTTTTCCTTCCGTTTTCACCGGTATCTTATCTGTTGCTGACTTGGAAGAACTTTGCTTTGTATTCACTAAACGATAAAACTAATTAGAGAGTAGTGCAAATAGAGTTTGGCTTGCTCTTAATGGCGATTCCTCACGGTCTCACTTAAGCATGCAGTCACTGCAGGCCCGGACATGCAGTCCACTCTGTCACATAGACACAACGCGCTTCTGACGAGTCTCGAATGGAAGAAATGGTAGTCCCTTACTTTTGCGCATGAGTGGTGACTAGCTTTCCGAGTGTGTTCATGTTGAATTGCCTCTGACGTAAACTATCCTGATAAAACTGTATTCAGTCCTTGGTATCCCAGGCTGGAACTCTAAGTGATTCTGTGTAAAGTGTTTTCACCAGACCGCAGTTGTATGCAGCCTGAGTGAAACTGGGAGAGTGAAATTATCTAACTTCCTAGTCTCCTGTACAGTGGAAAGACAGCTAAGGCATTTTATCCGCCAGTTCCGTAATGAGCAGATCCCTTTGGTTGGCCTTGTGACCTTGTCTCAGTGGCACAACTAGGCTGAAGTGAGTTGAATCCAAAGGGATAAGTCAAATTGCCAGAACTGATAAAGCCCAAAATGTCAGACACATACGGCTTCACGGATGCCAGCGGTGGCTTGCGCGAAACGCGTTTATGAAAACTAATCCCAAAGGCTGACTGTGGAGACACCCTCGATCATTTTGCATTCAGTTCAACCTCGTGACGCACGTTTTCTTAGCACAGTAAAGTAAGTCTATCAGATACTCCAGAGAAAGGCCAAATGTCAGATATTGCCTCAAAACATATGACACTAGCCGCCGTGTTTTACACACACAAGCTCATAAAAATAATACCCACGTTTATCCATTATATGAATTCCACATACCTGTTCGATTGTCCCAGTACCTTAACCAACTCAAATGAATATCGTAAGCACTGTGCAGTCAGCCGCATGGGAACGAGATCGCCGAGTTTCGACATCCATGGGGTAGCATTGTACTCGACTAAGTTTTCCATTCGTATAATCAAGCGTGATGTTTTGCCACTTTGTTAACTTTCGGTTCTCACGTCATAACATGTCTCCGTTCAAGTTGATATTGGCTTTATATGCTGTGGTATGTATAGGTGTTTATATAACAAACTGATTCGGTACTTACAGATTGCTTACTCAAAAGTGTGACATTATCCCATCTCCTGTCTCACCGTAACTTAAATCTTCCATTTTCTCCTTGTGATTGTCAGAGTAATCGGAACCTCCCCTCATTGTGTATCAAGCACTTCATGCAAATTAGTGATCCCTTTAACTCGTGCTCCACATTCCAACTACTCCCACATACTAGAAATGTGAAAATGTTGACAAGCAGTAAAGCATTACTGCCCACCGATACCCAACCAGACTGAATTGTGCTCATTAACTGCTGGGTCCAACAGTTAGATTGCCCTAGGGTTGTGTATACCTAACCCATGTATACTGGCTGGCGTTGTCAGGCTTTTCACCTAGGCAACTTCCCTGTTTTCCCTGTGTTTGAGACTGAAAGCATCCCCAAAGTAGGCAATGTCATGGGCTAACAAGGTCGCATGAGAGCTATAGTGTTGCTTTTAGATTGGTGGGCACATTCACATGAACTGCAACTAAATACTTTGAAACCATTCAAAAGGAGAACATTCATGCTTTGACGCTATGCCCAAAACGCATTGAAAAAATGTAGGTTGGTCAGAACCTTTGGAGTATTCGATTTTATCAACCAAATGTAGTACGTAGGAAGCATTGTTATGAACTGGCAATTCATGTGTCAAGAGTCAAACTAAAGGCTGGGAAACGGCCAAACTTTTATTTATGGAATTATGGAATCAGTTGTACTGTACATGTGTTCGAAGTGCCGTTGCGGTGTGACAGCTGTTCACTAGCCATTTCTCGGTGTCGCCTCCCGCATCGTCTACCCTTGTTTATTGGCCCATACGCGCCGCTAGTCCACTGAAATCGCTACAACCGACACCTGACTTGCTGTCAGTCCCACTGGGCTCGATTCATGCCAAGTTGCATCAACTCCATGTTACCCATCTAGCAGGTGCAACCCTGTTCACCCTGTGTGGGCGGTAGGTGGTTCGCTTTTCGTCTACTCAGCTGAACCATCACTATTGCGCACCTTGTCTCCAGTTTAGGCCGGCTAGCGTGTGTGTGCTACTCGCACGCTGTTCTTCGGGGCAATCCGGTTCGCTGTTGCCTGTGTCAATAGTGTTATTCGTGACTACGTGGTTGTTCGTTTCGGGTCAGCCTGGGTGAGCGCTGCTCTACGGGACTCTCGTCCAGTGTTCCCGCGTCGATTCCGTTCACATGACCTACCAGTTACCGCTACGACGTGGACGACTCACACGCTGCGTACCCAACTACCACGGCTACGGGTGTGGCGTGGAAGTAGCCCATGACCCAATAGATTGCAATCCTCAGGTCACCGGTTCGAATCCGCGTAGTGGCGGGCATCCTCGCAGTGTACTCAGACCACAAGCAACCGGTGGTTGTCACGTGGCAGCGAAGCATCAGTATAGTGTGTCGGGGTACTGCTTATGACTTTATTTTCTGACCTTATAAGCGCTCGTCGTATCCACAAGCTTCTCTCCACATTGATCTCATCAGCCAGAATGTCTTTTTGTTTTAAGAGTAAGTAAAGGACCTCTGCATAAATCTTTTGTTTTGAGGACACGCCCATGTTAGACATACCAAACTACATTTTGAACCACTTTTAACACGGAACAAACTGATGTCAACATTCGGGTGAAAGTTGATGGGCGGGCACTTGGCGACGAGATGACTATCACAGAGAAGGGTAACAAGGAAGGAAGGGGGTGGCGGTCCGCTCCAGGTGGCATGTGACAGGGGGCGGCATTTTTAATACCGTTGATTGTTCGATACCAAATATAAAGAGCAAAATTTGCAGTTAGGCTGAAGGTTGAATATTTTAATGTTAATAATAATAATAATAATAACAATGTATTTGACCAACCGAACATTTGCGCCATGTGTCGCACCTGTGCAAACGGTCTTCCCAGCGAAGTGCTTACTTGTCACATTGCGGTCACTTGCACCACATTGTCCCAAATGACCGTCCATTTCATCGAAAACTAATGTGCACTTTATCCTGACCCGATTGTGTGGCCTATATACCCTCAGTTAGGGCGAAAGTGTTACCACCGCCTCGCGCGGCAAACACAGTTACTACGCCATTGCTATTACATATTTAGTTTAAAAACACATAACTCCCTTATATCAATGAACAATGATTTATCACGGGTAAAAAAGCATGTGCAAGACAAGTCCCGTAGGACAGATGGAGTAAAAATTAAAATTTGAATGATCCTCAAATAAGTAAAGGGTTTTTTCAAGCGTCCACCGAGTTAAATGCACTATTGCATAACGATAGTTTTAAGTAGGAATGGAATGTGCACACGCAAAATATTATAGAGAGCTGTTACAGGTCAGTAAATGCGTTAGAAGTGAAAAAGGAAACGACAAGGCTCATTCGTTTGTTTCTTCATTTGACAGACGTGATAGGTTAATCCAGTTTAGCTACATCCAGGCTAATCACATGGACACTACTACATGTATCCTCACCGCCACGTTGCGGAGAGAGTGGTTAAGCACATGGTTAGGTTTGCGTTGTTTCGTCCTCCAAGTGGTACGGACTATATCAAGTAAGGCAACTTTGAAAGCATTTCATCAAGGCCTTTTTTTGAAAAGCGGTAATGTAGGGGCAAGGATAACTTGAGCGGGAAGGGCATTACAGGCACGGGACACACGAAGGGAGAAAACGTTTCGTCGACAATCAACTCGACTGTAGTGCGTAGCCAGTTTGAGCTGATGACCCCTCAGGTTGGTATTTCGGCTCGGCTGCAACAGATTGCGACATGGGTGAGTTGGGTTCGTCAGTATTAAGTAAACCATGATTAGGTGTCCTCGCTGACGTCGATATTCACCACTGTACAATCTCAGGGACTGCAGTCTGCATTGGTAGGAGAGATGAAACAATCCGCCAATGACTTTGGTCGCTCTACATTGTGGAGCTTCAAGTGCATCGACGTCGCGCCTGCGCCAGGGACGCCATGCCTGGATCACACATTCCATCTGAGGCCTCACGTAGACGTTCAGTATTTGCGGAAAGATTGATGACTCAAAATTACCGA